AATTATGACAGCACACACGGGGGGTGTCCGTCTACATGCAACATATATACATTTTTACGCGCACATAGTTAACACATTTTTTCTTGTTTTAAATGTAAAAGGCAACATTTTGTGTTTAAAGATGTTGGAATTCAGTTCTTGAGATTAAACTGGTAATTATACCCTACCCTATTGCACTCAAGTCTCGCCTCTGCTAAATGTGTTTATACCTATTTCAACTCTGAACGTTTTCTTTGATGCAAATCACATTTTGTTGGAGGCAAAATTTTAAAATTTTTATCATCTTTAAACCTTCCTTGGTGAATAAGTGAGGTACCACACAAAATTGGGCCCGCTCGGTTCACCCGTTTTGACGTTTATTGGATACAAACGCGGACAGACAAACGGAGAGACAAGTAAAGTATATAAATACTAGGCTTTTAGGGCGCTTCGCGCTCATCTTCTATTTAAATTATGAACATGTTATTTTTGTTTACATTTAAAAACAAAGAAGAAAAAAATTTTGCGGATTTAAAAAAAAAAATTTGCGGATTTTCAAGAATTTAAATTTTTTCACAAAATTAAAAACCTTTAAAACACATTTTTTTTAAATTTTTATCATTCATAAACCTTCCCTGTGGTCACGTGATGTCCCACAAAGAATTTAGGCCCGATCGGTTCAGCCGTTTTGACGTTTATTGGATACAAACAAACAGACAGACACCCAGACACCCAGACAGAAACCCAGACAAACAGACAGACAAGCCAAATTTATATATAGATTTATATAATAATATATAGATAAAAAGGGATATGTCTGAAGGGGAGGGGGGTGTCTGAAGTCTGGTTTATAATGATAGCCTTTATTTAAACCTTGTCTTTTGAGAAAGATATTCTCGGTTTTCTTTCTGAAAACCGGATTGAAAAAATGGTATTCTATTCCTCCTTCATCTAACACAAGATTAAAGGGTTTCGACGTGAATCGCAAATACGAAATCTCACCTAAATTGAAATCACGCCTACAGTCCCTGTCCCTTTAAAGATATAGATAAATTTCAGCTTGGTAACAGACATAAATTGTTTCAAAATTCCTGAAGCTATAATTCAGTTTCTCATCTTTAACCTTTAAATAATTGTAAAACTGAAACTAATGGTTGCAACAAATTTGCACCAAGTAACCTGGCAAATTTAGCATCTTGAACATATTTGCAGGATTTAGCAACAGGCATTATATTTTCTTGATTGCGAAACTAAAACTTGTTTTTTTTATTACCCCACCACGCCTTCGTTTTTGTTTTAGTAACAGTACTCATATACTCAACATTACAGGGTATTTCAATAAAAAGGACATTCAGAGATGATTTTTTCTTATGATGTGAATTACGGCAATAATTAAAGTATGATTTTAGAAGTAATAATTACAATATTTTCTAGACCTGATATTTTCAAAGTGTGGTATGCCATTTCTTTCGCTTCTTGAATTACAGATAATTTCGTTTTGATTTTGATTATTAAAAAACATTGAATGATAAAAGTTAAAAATCAAAGAATAGTTAAACTGTAAACTTTGGCACATGCGTTTAAAATACTAACCCTTAAAATATTAACTATTAAAGTCTGGGGGGTTTGAATCTATGTATATTGTATAGCCTGGGAAGGGGCCCCCCCCCCCCCCCCCCCCCCCCCCGTAGAGAAAGGCCGTAGAGGTAAGGTATATAGTTGCAATGCATGTTCATAGCCAATTTTATCAAGGCCAGTTTATTGAAAAAATTATACCGTTAACTTAAGTAGTTTGGGTGCTAAACAGGTTTGAAAATAAATGACAAAAAAGATTCGAACGTTTTTATTGCATTTGACAAATATTAAGATTTGATTTCTTTGTTTTCTAGTTTTGACGCTACTATAACTGAACTTGTGACCCGAGAACTTGATGTGCTGCTACACGGACGAACTCTTACAACCTTCTTCACTGATACTCAAACAAAGGTGAATTTTCGATCACACTAGAAAAATGCTACACTCATATACGCAACCTCAAAAAATGCTACCTAATAAAACGCTACCTCAGAAAATACTACCTTATAAAACGCCACCTCATAAAACGCTACCCAATAAAATGCTACCTCATTAAATGTTACCTAATAAAACGCTACATCGTAAAACGCTACCTCATAATACACTACCTCATAAAACGCCGCAGCATGAAATGCTACCTCATAAAAACGCTTCCCAGTAAAATGCTACCTCATAAAATGCTACCTCATAAAACGCTACCTCATAAAACGCTACCTCATAATACACTACCTCATAAAATGCTACCTCATAAAATGTTACCTAATAAAACGCTACCTCATAAAACGCTACGATCAGATAATGGTTGCATGGGTAACGTTGTGAATCAGGCATTGTCATCTTTGCATGGAGGGTCACTTAAATTAACGTCTGCAGTTCCTTTAGAGCAATACATTTATGAGAGAAAAAAATCAGATTTTTCAAACACCATTTTAAAACTGGAAAATTTTTAGATTTTGGTCAATTTTTAGATTTCTAGATATTAAGTCCGTTAAAGCAAAAACTATAACTTACTTTTTTTGTGTATTTTGCATAAATGGGATTTAATTGAAAGGACGTAAGGTTACAAAAATATATACGGATTAGAAAATAAGAGTTTGATGCGATCATGGAAGTAACCAGTTCAGTTTTCGTCTTTTTTACTTCATATTAACAAAGACTTGGCATTTCTATTTGTTTAGATAATTCCTACTTCTAGCACCTATATACAAACCATAGAGATAACTCCTACTCCTGCCTGGAGTCCTCAATATTCTACTCCCACTCCACAGTACTCCAATCTTCCATTTTTAAGTCCCACTACACGCACTCAAACCAAGCAAAGGAAACAAATGGATTATATTGAGATAATTGATTTAATGTTTGCTTTAAATATTAATAAAATGTAGTTTCCATACAGAAATATTCTATTTTGTTACGATATGAATTTTGTACCTCTTATTAGAGGTGGGCGCATTCGACTATTTTTTATTTTGTTCGCTGATCGTTTGTGAACAACCAAGTTTGTTATTTTTATTTTCTTTTATCATTTATTTTCCTTCTATTTTGTTCGTTTTCTCAATGAATAATTGTTCAGTAAAATCGTTTGTTTTATTGAATTTTTGTTCAATCAAATTGTTTTTTCATTAACAGCTTTCGTTCAATAAATTCTTTCTTGCAGTTTAAAAAAGACAAAAGCTTTTTCAAAAGTTTGTTCAAAATTGGTAGATTGAGTTTGTCTTGTAAACTGTAAACAGTCTCTTTGAATTCAATATGTTTTGTTCTAGTGAAAAGGCAAACCTGGAGGAACTGGACAGTTTTCAATCTCTACAGGAGATACTTCTTAAAATTAAAGAGCGTGCGCTGAGTGCCGTAACTGCTTCATTCATTGAGGCAAAGACGACTGACTTTACTCTTGAACCTACTCCAGGTTGTGTATCTCTTTATCATGTTCAATATCGACATAGTGAATAATACTTAATAAATAATCCTTCTATATACATTTTTTTCAGTTTTGCAAGCTGCCATATTACCAGAACAATCTTCATCTCTTTCCTCAGTGGTATTCGCAGAAGCTTTTCCCTCTTTAATGTCTTCCATAGCACCTGTATTCATGTCGAGCTCATCGAGTACATCAATCTTACCATCAGTTTCAATTTCATCTTCAGTATCAGAGGTTTCATCAAACGAACCAGAAGTATCAAGCTCCATCCAACCAGGAGCATCAGCATCAACTGCATCATTAGTATCAGATGCTTCATCACAGCTTCCTGAATCAGTACTATCAAACTCCATCCAATCAGAAGCATCAATTTCAGTTATAATTCCAATCTCTCCTACATCATTATCATCATCAATAGTTCAGAATTCTTTATCATCAACATCTTCGACATCTACCTCATCAATAATATTGCCTGTATTACAATCAGCATCAACATCTGTCACAAAATCATTTTCTAAATCTGTATCTACATCTTTCTCTCGTTCATCTTCATCATCCTCATCCTCATCCTCATCTTCATCGTCCTCCATCTCAACCCCTATATCAAACAATATCAAAGCAGCAGATGTTTCAATTCCACAAGAACTCTTAGAATCAATAGACACTGAAACAAGTGAAATCGTGGTATCTCAAAATGACTCTGAGGAAGAAACACCTGCAGAGAGTTTAGTTGAGGCAAAGGTATCATTACCAGAAGTATCATCCTCTTCATTAATATCCTCAGAGTTAATTCCGTCAGAATTAACTTTCTCTGAAGTACCTTCTACTGAATCTTCATCAACTTTATTATCATTGGATTTAGCGCCATCAGAGCCATCAGAGTTACCACAATTAGAGTTAATATCATCCGAGTTAACATCATCTGAGTTAATGCCATCAGCATTATCATCATTGGCATTAACATCATCAGAGTTAACACCATCAGAGTTGACAGAATCAAAATCAACTGATTCAGAGTTTTCAGAATCAAAGTCACTAGAGTCATCATCTTCAGTGTCAATACCATCAGTTTTATCTGAAACAGAGTTTAGCAAATCAGAAGATGTTTCAGACAATAACTCTCCTCACAAAAGGAATTGTTAAAATCATTATTTTTGTTAAACATTTGATTACAGGGGAAGAAAGTTCCAAACTGTGAGTGATCGTTTATTTTTGATTAAAATTCATACAATTTTCGAGACAGATCAAGGTTTTCCTTTTTTGACATATTACGAATTTAAATCTTCTAAATTATTCTAAACATTGTTTATACTTTTAAATACGAAGAGTTTCCTCTATTTTCGATAAAAAACTTTCCCGCATTTTTCTGTTCAATTTAATTGTTAAAGCAATATAATATTAAAATTAAACTTTTCAATGTTGTAAGTCTTAATATTTTGAAATATTTGAACAGACTGTATTATTTACGTATTTATTGTTTCATTATTTAAATTCTACTGTACGCGAAAATCTTGGTTTGTAACTTTCTTGCCCTGAATTATAAATTTTATTTTGAAAATCAAAAATATTTCTAATTTTTAACTTTTAACAATTTAGCGATTCTTTTAGTTCCGATGTTGGTAAGTAAAATGAAAATGTAATTGATTTTTTTTTTTGAATAAAACGAACATTTTTTTAGATAATGAAGATTCTTATAACGATTCTGAACAATTCAATACTTTTGAAGATCTGGAAGGTATACTTACTATTATCACAAATCCAAAAGGTTTTATCTCTGATTTTCTGTAAAAATCTGTATTATTAAGGTTTGACTGGAATATCAGAGCGAAGACGACGTAAAACAGAAAATCCAGGTAAAAGGGACTTGTAACGATATTTTAAGTGAACTCATGTTAATGAGTTGCATGCCTGATGCTTCATCTAAGCAACTTAAGGAAAATATCGTTTTTTTTCTTTCTCGTGTTGACTTCTTATGATTTCCTACTTAGTGTCTACTGCATAAATCCAACATTCACTTTTACAGAGAACCCACTATTGGACATTATTATTTTTGAGCATCATCATTTATCATGTTCCTATTTAAATATAGGGTCACTTGAATTTACTTCTTATATTAAAGTTTTCATTTCAATTATTTATTAGCGCGTGTGTGTGAAAATCAAAATTTTTATAACAAAATGAGCATTAGATAGCAAAAAAAATGTTATCATAGTATTGGCTCTTAATTTTCATAATGGGTTAATGATAGTGTTCCCTCTAAAAAGGGAAATTCATTTATATAAAATAGTTTCAGAGTAACGTTTTTATACATGATATATTTTTAATTATTATCCGATCAGAGCTTCATATATTCATGTTGCATTCATTTGCTTATTTTTCAGAAGCAGTTTCAGAACCAGCAAATCCCTCAAGAGATGAGATGTGCAGTTCTATGGTAGTAACTGTAACTGCAACTACAACTATTACAGCAACTGTTTTTCAGTGATAGTTCCATAACTGTAACATTATCATCTTAACACGACTGTTACAGCTACTGGTTATCAGTGATTATTCGTAACCGTAACATTATCATTGTAACACGACTGTGACAGCTACTGGTTATCAGTGATTATTCGTAACCGTAACATTATCATCGTAACATGACTGTGTCAGCTACTGTCTATTAGTGATCGGTTACTGTAACGTTATCATCGGAACACTTTATCGTGATGAAGGAGATGTAATTATGACAGCACACACTATAGGAACAGTTACAATTGTATCAGTGCTTATTGCAGTGAAATGGTATCGAGTCTTTGCCACAAACTCAATTTTATAACACCTATATCTTTGTAACCTGATTATTTAAACTTTGGATTTAAAGGATTTAAAGTTTGAAATGCCTAAGGTCTAAGACATTGGGTTTTAAAGATATAGAGATAAGAAAATCAGAGTTTATGGCAAAAACTCAATTACAGACAGGAAGAAATCATATAATGCAACCATCCAGTATTATTTCAATTTAAATCTGATCACATGGAATCAAAATGAAGACTTTTGCCATGAAAGATAATCCGTTTTTTTGTTTGTTTTTTTGGTCACGAATAAATACCGGGATTGAACTTTAGTTATTTTCCAAAGGGCATTATCTCAAGAACCGATAATTACGGTTGGATGTCCCAGTACTGCGGATAGAACATACTAGGGGCCAAGCGCTGCAGCTAATAAAGATTTACGAAGTGGCTATATGGGAAAATATCCTTGGGAAGTTTCCACATCCGAAAAACCTTGAGTAAAATGTAAAATGTCTAACCGTAAAGTTGATATTTTTTTTTTAATTATTTGTTTCAAACTTTACATTTTCATTCGAAAAATAAAATTTGAAAATTATCAACAACTTTATATTCTATTTGGCATTCTGTGAACGCTATTATCATTTTACTATAAAAACTAAATTTAAATCGCATTCTACATTTTACAATACGCGCATATGTTTTACTTTACTGCAAATTCTCCCTTTTTCGGCCGTATTTGCGAAAGACAAATTTTGCAGATATTTCACACTTTGGAGTGGGATTCCACAAAATTGCATGTCACTGTCGAATTTATAGCCATTATTTGAATCGCAAAACTAAAGCAGGCATTAATGATGTACAGTAAAATTTTTTTTGTAAAAATTAATGAAAATATAGTAAATGATATGTAATAGTTCCATATTTTAAAACTGTAGATCTAATTTTCTCAACAAATACAGTCTGTTGATATACCTACTATCTTAAATAAACAAATGAATTTAAATCAATAAATATTAACAAAAAAATCATTTGGAAAAACTTGTTTCAGCCAATAAAAATGTAGTTCTTGTTAATACATATAAATCAACAAAATTTTTATATTGCTCTTGATTATTCAAGATTGTTCAAATTTTTTTTTCAAACATTATTTTCTTTGATTGAAGATTAGGTTAATATAATGTTTAGATAGATGACCAATTTTTTCTGAATGAAAAAATATTGACCTTTTCCTTTGAAATTAAACATAATTATTATGATAGAAAATATTTCTTAAGTCTCCCAATTTTTGATAAACTATTTTTATCATGTTTACTGACACTGCACTGTCCAAGTTCTTTTATCTTTTGTTGTTTTTGGACAGTAACAACGCACCATGAAGACTGTAGTAAGTGTTTTTTTTGTATATTAATATTAAAGGGGCTGTATAAGAGTAAGTTTAAATGACCTTATTTTATGCAAAGATTGTAATGTTCTTTTCACAAAAATACTTATGGAAACCTTTATATTATTAGTGTTGAAGGCAGTGTCGTTTTTCTAGTTTTAAAGCAGTTTAATTCTTATAATTCCGTTATGTTCTCCTGTAGTAAAAATGCGCAATTCACTTTTGAAATGAAACCACTACTGAAAAAAATCAGTTAAAAAAATTACTTCTTTTGAACTAAAGCGAGAAACAAGTGCTTTGTTTAAATGCATATGCCAAGGGCTACAAAAACGTATGTATGTCCTAATAAACAAAGGAACAATTTCTCTTATCTATTAATATTTATTTAGGAATATAATTTTTGTGACAAAATATACGTAAACATCTACGCCTGAGAATTTTAAAATTGGTCAGTTTTTTCTTAAACTATGACAGAGACAATTATAGCACAATCATAAATATAAAAAGGCCCTCCATAGCATTGTATTACACAACAATGGTCTTTTTTTAAAGCAAAAACAATGTTTAGCCTTTTTTAATATACAATCTTTTAATCAATGCTGAATTTACATTATTTGTTATCTTGGGATATAAATAATAGTTATAAAAATAAGAAAAATATGTTTGACACTCCGCAAACTCTGAACTGAAGGTTGCTAAATTTGCATTCAAGTTTGTAAACCAGGATATTTATTATTTAAGGTCAAGAATCCGGAGACTTTGATGATAAAGTTAACCTATAAATGTCACGATGAAGTTGAAAATTTAAATTGTCTTTTAGGCGTTGAGTTCATGAACTGGGCAACTATTTTAATTACAGGGTGTCCCAGTAAACATGGGAATTAAGTGACGACTTTTAAATCGTCTTTGTTCAGCGTGACATTATAATTGAATATAATTGAATTGTGTTGTATTTCAGTTAAAGCAGTTCATATTTTAGATCCCGCTAGTCTTGGGAATTCCAAAATGTGGTTTATTATATATGCACCTTCGAAATTGCGTGAGATATCAAAGAATCTGTCCAGATCTAATTTATTGAAGAACAACTAAAACTTGTTAATGTTAAACATTTTAGTCAATTTTGAAGTTACAAAGAAAGCAGATAACATGTTCAAAAGCTTGAAAGACGTTCAGTCTTTATTTTGTACATATTTTGACATTTATCAACTATCTAAATTCGAAGAAATTTTTCAAGTCGTCTCTTCATTCCCATTTTTATTGAGACACCCTGTATCAAACGTTGTCCATGATGAAATGAACGGTCTAGGCCTGGGCACGTTTAGACTTTTTATTTAAACTAAATATTTCATGTATTAATTAATGTAAAGATATCACCTAAGTGGGAAATACAGAAAACATCATTAAAAACATACTTATTTACTTTTTATTTATAAATTTTAAACATTGCTATCCCTAAACAGGCTGGGGGGGGGGGGGCGTAAGGCGCCCCCTGTAGTTTTTTTGGTCCTATCAATCTCATTTTTGACACTGTCATTGTGAAATTTTGTGGCTTTTAATGAATTGAAATTTAAAGGATTGTTTGTAATTTTTTTCTTTTTTAATGCATAGGGTTTGGTATAGGACGGTATTTGGAAAATCAAAAATAGCCCATAACTTTTTTTTGTGACTGAGGCTACATAGCTAAAAGCTATATTTTTGAAAAGCCTTGAAAAATGAATATAGAGACATGTGTCAAACTTTGATATTTGTTTAAAATATAAAAAAATATTTTTTTTTTCATTTTTCTGACCTATTTTTTTGGCTCTTTTTCAACTCTCCCTAGCATCCAAACTATTCAAGTTATCGGTCAAATTTGTTTTTCAATGAGCTGGCATTGGCAAATTGGGCTATGCACATGCATTTCAACCCTATACCTGTTCTCTAAGGCTTTTTTCTAGGGAAAGAACCAAAACCCCCAGCGTATCCTGGTTTTCAAGTACCCCAGCAGGGATAGGGTTAACGATTTCTTCTGCTAATTTAACGAATGCTTTCATAACTTTCTCCAGCCCTAGCGTTTACTCCTGATGAGGAATTAATTAATTTTACGTCAGCTTTCCCTTTAATCAACTCTCTTACAAGGTGTTGTTGGTGTGTTCCTTGTTCCTTATTGTTGAGGGAAGCATACTGTTCCCGAACCCAGATCAGGAGTTTACAAATTTCAAAATCAAGTTTAATAAAACTTACAGGTAATGATGTGGAAGAAAAACAAATATATAAAAATATGTTTATTCAAAACATGTCTTGCTCTTTCACAAGAACAAATTTGGACCCTGGCAGAAGTTATATGCATGAAACAACTCAAAAACGATAGTTTTCGGATGGTTTTTGCATTTTTGATTTTTTAGGTTAAAGATATTGCAAAGTTTAACAAAACCAAAATTGAACAAAGTACAGTGTTGAAATCTTTCAAGTTTTATTAAATGTTTTTCTAAAAAATAACAATTAACAATACTATCTACAGGAGCTGGGCAGAGGAAGAGACTAGGTTTGCAGCATTCAAGGTAATCAAGGTTAAACCAAAGCACTGTGATTTAAAGGACTCAAGCTCTCAAGCAATTATCGATGAGAATTTTGCCAATTACTTCTTAAAAAGTAAAGCTGACAACAACTGATTTTGAGTGGTAACATAAAAGCCCGGGGCGATACGACACTTCTAAGTCGACCCTGTCTTTAAAATGTATAAGACTTTTTATAAGCAGGCTGAATCTAGTGAAGGAGTATGGAATACTCCTTGGGTTAAATTCATTTATACAAAGACGCCGGAAGAAATTATATAATGTCGCCTTTTTTGAACATTTTTCGTGGAATAGAGTGTCTTAAAGAAAAAAATTAACAATGAATGAACAAAATAGATTGTTCAGAGAAATGAAAAAATTATCGTTTTCTAAAAATGAACAAACAAAAAAATCGAACGAACTTTTGCCCATTCTGATTTGAAGAAAACACGAAGACAACAATCCGACAGTCAAAGTTCAATTCTTCAAAGTTTTCCAAATATTTAGAAGAACTTGGACCGGATTGAGAAGCACAATGGAGAAAAGCACTCATGGAAAATGGGAATCACCCAGTTTGCTGATTTAACTAGGTCATTTCGAATGATTGGAAAATATCTGGAAAATTTCTTTTTTCTTTTAATGTTTCATGTTACTGCTTTCATGTCAGTTAAGGTAGGATTAAGACTCTTAATTATTTTGGTAAGTCCAAACTGCAACCTAGGGTCAGAGATAGTTTATGTTATGATGTATTTATTGCAAGGCTAAATAAAAAAAATTAATTTGAAAACCAGTGATCCAGTTATATTGCATCTGAATCAAGTAATTATCAAAATGTTACTAAATTAATTTATTTCATGTTTGTACCGGAGTCATGACAAATGAATGAATTCTGTTTATTATTTCAAAAATCAAAGACATCTTTCAAGTCATCTTGCTACTTCCCAGTTTCGTGGGACGCCCTGTACCTGTTTCATATGGTACAATAAATAAGTCCAATTTCTTCAACATATTATTGTATATGAATAAAAATCAATAAAGCAATGCACTGAGTTTCTCAAATATTCAACGAGTCGGTTTTTCTTACAATATATTTATATACAAAAGATACAAACTTTAAATCGAACGATACTTATACAAACTAAATATTATGAATCAAATCAGTTTCATCAAATAGGGGACATTTTTACATTTTGCATTTT